TGTCTGCAAGCAGCTGCGTGTTGAAGAGGTTGGCGAGAAACGTATGGCCGCCCGAGCTGTTGAAATTGCCCCAGTAAAAGTCATTCGCGAGCACGCGCGGAGACGTGACTGTCATGTACGTGGCATTCGCAAACAGTGAGAGCGAGACGTAGAGCAAGCCGACGAGTGACACGGACGCGTGGGCCACGCGATGCACGAGCGCCAACGGCGTCGTCTTGGGTAGGAGTGCGCCTGCCATCGCGACGGCCGAGGGCCGGGATAAGGTAGGTAGTGCAATTGACGGAGGACTCGGCGGGCCAAAGGCAAGTACCGCTGTCTGGGCATACTGTCGCGTTGCAGGAAAGATGTAGACGTCGTTGAAGCGTCGGATACCGTACATCGTTGCTGGCAGGACGCGCCAGAGCGCCACGTCACCGACGTACAAGGTGCCGCGGACTTCAAAAATCAAGAGGCCGCATAGAATCGCACTGAGCTGATCCAAGTCGAAGCTGCGTGCAGTGGCGTCCGGGGATCCCATGTACGTAGTTGCTGCGCCGTGGAGGACGACCGATGGCACTACAGAGGACTCGCCGGAGGTGCGCCGCTGGACGAGACATTGACTCCATAAAACACCCAGCAATGCCAACCCCACGTGAACGGCGATAAGAAGGTAGACGCGGGTTCGATGCCCGACTTGGACGACGCCAGAGTCGCACATGAGGTACGTGTCCATGGCTATAGGCTTGCACTGTCGACCCAACGACGCCGCCAGCTGCGGCGACGCCACCACATCGAGGAACCAGCAGACGCAAAAGGCCATCATCGCAGTCCACGGGACGTACTTGCGCATGCGAAGCGACGAGCTAGCGTGGCAGAGGCACTCGTCCAGCGCATACGACAACCATAGCGTCTCGCCCGAGAGAATGGCAGACTCGAGAAGCGATCGGGGTGTCGCAACAAACGTGCGGTCGCCAGTCGTCGAGAGTTGCTGAACGCTGACAGACGCTGTCGCCAAGCAAACGATCGCTGCGAGCGCGCGAACGAGCAGCATCGGGCGTCCAACCCACGTCGTACTTGCCACGCGGTTAAAGAGAAAGCCATGGGCAAAGAACAGGTGGTGCCGACGACTCATCGCTGCCAAAAGAAGCGCACTGAGCGCCACACACAGCCCAAAGGTCAAGTACGCGCAGAGGTTAAAGAGGTACCCGGAAAGGGACAAACCGACGTCGAGCGGATTCACAAATTGATCGATCGGGGCGTAGGCGTACGAGAGAAGGTGGAATGTCTGCATATCGCCTTCGAACGCCACCGCTTCGCGCTGCCCGAGCGCCCACTCGAACAGACTCGTCCAGCCAAAGACACGCCAGCGAAGCGCGTCGTGCGGCAGCAACAGCTGGCTACGCACGTCGACGGCGCTGCTACTGGAAGATATATTTTGAACAAACTGCAATGTCGAGAGGGTTAGGCCTTCCACGTCCGCCATCATCCCCGTGACATTGAACTGCGCCAGGGGTGGTAAGCGGTTGTATATGGCCATTGCCGCCGACAAGGTGCGCTGACACGAGGCGGCTTCTGCGAGCACCAAGCCCGACGAATGACAGATGGCCGCCACATCGATCCCATGATTGCTCTCGATGGAAAGGGCAAAGAGGATCGACGTGCTGGTCCACGTACTCGTCCACGGACGCTGGGTCGCACACGTGTCATCAAAGCCAAAGGACTCTTGTACAAAGCTGCAGGGGGCCCCAAAGGCGCACATGGGATTGCCACCGAGGAACACAAGGTCGGTTGACTGCCACGCGCGCGGTGTCGGGTGCAGGACCGTCGTTTCGAACGCATCCAAGGCTGTTGCTACGTCCGAAGACGCTTGCTTTGCGTTTTGGAGATGGTGCTGATAGGCGGCGACGTAGGCTAAGAGACTCGGCGGGGGGCGAAGCATCCAAAGATCGACCGACCCGAGGGACCCGAGGTGGTCATGAAGCGCTTGGTTGAGGGTGTTGAGGGGGTATGGGAGGCTGTATATCTCCATTGCAAAGGGTAATATATATCCATACCAATTCGGCGCGTTGCGAACAAGACTCATATTAGGGCCGAGCAAGAAGTTGCCAAGGTCGTTCTCGAACGAAGCAAACATCGCATGCGACGTCCAGAGCGCGTACCGGTCCACGGGCGCGATGGCCTTGATATGCAGCGTCGTGATAGCACCCAGTTCATTTTCTACGCGGATCGTCTCGACGAGCCCGAGCTGGCGCAAATTGGCCCAGTTCAGCACGAAGACCTCGTAACCATGCGCGCTCCACAGCCTCGCTTCGTCCTCGACAGGCGCCCACGTATGATTGACGAGAGCTTGCACAAACGCCGGGCTCACTGCGTCGCCGATGAGCGGCAGGAAGAAACCAGCGTAGAGGCCCAGCCACGCTGGCATGTCGATATTGCGGAGCACAGCTTCGAGATGCACGGCGGCGTTCGTCGCGTGCTTCTCTGCGCACCGTGCTTGGCGCTGCGCCGTGTGTGCAAGCTCCCACCGCCGACGCAAGTCAACGTAACAGTACTGCGCCATCATGTGGGTCACCGCCCCCGCGCCGACTTGACGCAGGCCGATGACGACGTCGGTCAGCGGCAGAGAGTCGGTGTAGAGAGCAAGTCGAGGGTACGTGGCAAAAACGGGCGCTCCCGAGCTCGGTACGGCGAGGGCCGACGCAAGCAGCTCAAAGTGGGCGGTTGACGGCAGCAGCGTCAAGTGCAGATTAAAGGCGTCGACAAGGACGGGCTGAAGCGCCAACGCGCGGAATTGCGGCCAAATGAGATCGTTCTCCAAGTACGTTTGCAGCAGTTGGAGCGCATAGATGGAGAGAGAGACCGTGGCCAGTGCATAGCCGAGGCCTAGAAACGACCAGCGACGGCCCGTGGGCGGCCCAAGACTCGGGCTCGGACCGAGCGTCGTCCGCCGCGGGATGGCCCACACCTCGGGGGGCGCCACCGACATGTTTGTGGTCCTCAAAATAGGTGTCGTTATGGTATTTTGGTGGTATTCTGGTCATCGAGACGACCGAAAAATCGTGAACCAAGCCAGTACATGTTCCAATTTAGATATTAATTCTCACTGGTTCAGGAATGAGTCTGCCGACACAAGGTAATATGTACTTGAACCTTATCGATATACTCCTTCCATTGCTGACGCACCCTGTGGTGGCTTCTTGCTCGACAGCCGCCGACGCTGTCCCATCTGCAGTTCCACCAAAGGCGCGATGCATCTATCTGGCCAAGAGCATCGCGCCCACAACATCGATGTAGCTCCGCCAATACACAGGATAGGATAGAATGCGGGGTGTAGGTTGTTAGTGCGGGCTTGACTCGGTCGCGTGGGGGTGGACGAGGCGCTTCGAGGGGCTCAGTCGCTCGTTGTTTTGCTGTCGCAGCATTTGTGTCTGGACGCGTGCCACGTCCGAGATGCGGTCTTCAGCGTGGCAAAGACGCTCTTCCAGGATCGACAGCGTGCGCGTAATGATCTCGAGCTGCCCGACAATGTGATCGAACGTCGCGCTGAGGTTCTCGGGCAGCCGCGCGTCGCCGGTCGGAAGCTTGGACGACGCCAGTTGTCGACTCTCGTCCTTGCGCTCGTTGGCCGTCGGCATCTCATAAACGACCCCGTTCTGATCATAGAGGTGGCTATGCTGGTGGCGGTGGTTGTTGCTGGTAGGAGTCTTGGGCTGGTGGTATGGGCTGCTGCTCTCCTTGGGGATGTAGCTGCTGCTGTCGCGGAGTACAGGGTCGTACCGGATCGCTGACGGGTTGCAGAGATCGTGCGCGTTGTTCTGGATTGAGACAGGCACTGGTACATACGTCGGGGTCGGTCGGGCCTTGGTCACGCGGGGCGGTGATGGGGGCGGGTGGCGTGGCGGCGAATAAGGAGGCGCCTTGACCGTAGCAGGAACGTCTGGAGGCGCATGACGCAAGACGTGCGACTTGGGTAGTGCCTGCGGATACTGCGGCTCGTGCGCATGCAGGCACTTGTCCAAGTCCGTGTCCCACACCATGACGAGCGCGTCGACGCCGCCGGACGCGGTACACTTGCCGTCGGGCGAGAAGGCAGCGGCGTTCACCGCGCCCGTGTGGCCATGCATCGTGTAGAGAAGATGGCCTTCGCGAATGTCCCAGAGCTTGATCGTGCCGTCGACTGACGTCGAGAGACAGTAGTACCCGTTCGGGTGAAAGTCCAAGCTCGTCACGTTGCCTTCGTGCGCGGGGTAGTGCTGAATGAGCTTCTGGGATCGAATGTCCCAGAGGTTCATGCTATGGTCGTAGCTGCAGGCGCCGACCGTCGTGCCTACCCGTACCATGTATGCAAGGCGCGCGCGCACCGAGCCTCGTACCATCCGGGTGGAAGCGAACGGCGTTAATGATGCCGCTATGGTCATAGAACGTCGTGATGCAGTTGCGTGTCGCCTTGTCCCAGAGCTTGACTGTCTTGTCATCGCTGCCCGAGCTATTCGGCTGCATTAGGACGCTGTAAAACCCAGTGGCGCGGGTACATGAGAAGGCGCGCGTCCGGGCTAAAGCGTGCCGAGCGCACCCAGTTGCTGTGGCCGTTCCACGAGCACACAAAGCGGCGCGTCGGCAGCGACCACATCTTGATCGACTTGTCGTCCGACGCCGTGAGGAGCTCGGTCGAGTCGTACGAGAAGGCGACGCTGCGCACGCCGCCAACGTGGCCTTTCAGCGTGTGCGATTCGCCTTTGACCGTCGGTGTCCATAGGCGCACGGTGCGGTCTTGGGACCCGGACGCGAGGAGCTCGCCCGACGGCGCAAACTGCACGTCAAAGACTGGGCCCTTGTGGCCGAGGAAGCGGAAGGCGCGGACCTGCGGCTTGAAGTTCCAGACCATGACGGAGCAGTCCATGGCGCCAGAGGCCAGCTGCCGCGCCTGCGGGCCGTACGCCAAGGCGGCGACGCCCGACTTGTGGCCGCGGAACGTGCGCTGGAGCGACGGATCCATCTCAACGATATCCAAAGTCGGTTTTTCGAAGCCGAGTTATATTTTTATGCATATCCATACAAACAGCAAGTATAATAATATACACTTGATCGAACCGCTATCCTGGTTCCGGTTGTGCCAACCGGTTAGACAGTAATTTCGGCATCCGCGTAAAATCGGCATTGAAGCC